CACTAAAAAGATAGTTGGTGTTTTAATAGGGGTATCCTCATGAAGAGGACATCATAAAATTATTGGTGTCCCTTTACTAAAAAAAAAAACATAAATTTTGTAACAGCCTTAACTCTCATATAGAGTCCTAACCGTACGCTCACAATATTTATGATAAAATAATTAATAGAGATATTTCGCGCAGCAAATCTTAAAATAATAAAAGTACATCCTTTGCATAATTAGCTCAAAATATCCAATATCCAATATCCAATATCCATGAGACATGTCTAAACTCTAAAATAAATACTTACTAAAAATAAAGTAATTAACATTAAGTATTGTTCGAATTAAAATAAAAATTAAACGATCTCCTAGCGAGTCTTTTGCTGTTCAGGAGCGCAGTTCTGAATATCATGATCTGGAAGAAATGAATAATAAATAGGGTGAGCTTAATATGCTTAGCAAGCTTGTAAGTACCTATAAATAATAGGATAATCTATCAAATTTGTTAGAAAACATAAAAATACCGACAAAAATTATTCAAAACACTTTTCTCTTTAATTCAGAAAACACGTGGTATCTACAGCCTAATTCATTAATAAAATATTATAAATCAGTTTATTTAGTAAACATTCAGAATTCATTATTTCGATATCATAATTAAAGGTATAAACAGTTCAATAAATAGCATAATTTAGTATTAAGTATCACAATTTAGATAGTAAGCGGTTCAGTAAATATTTATTTAGTATTTCAGTATCATAAAAGTAATATATGACTTCCTATTCATTCATATCAGTTTATATCCTATTAAAGTGGTTTCACCGTGCGATGTCATTTTTGCTAGTATCAATGATAGCAGTGAGAATCCCCTCTACCATGTGAATACATCACAATTCAGTTCACAGTTCACAGTTTGCAGTATACATTCACAGTTCTTATCATTTCGTCATGCCTGGCTAAAGCTGTAACACCCCAAAATAGGATTTTAATATAATTTAAAATTAATAAATATAATTTTTTGATTTTCTCTAATTTAATTTAAAGTAAAAATTGAAGGAGGATGAAATTGAAAACAATTTTGGAAAAATGGGTGAAAATTTGGGTTATGTGGGTATTTTTAAAAGAAAA